TTTGTAGGAAAAAAATTCTGTCATTTACCTTCCGTCCTTGTATTCATCTCAGAGTGTGGATCTCAGAGAAGAGGTACCGAGATCTGGACCAGTTTAGAAATTTACCCTCACCAAGTCATCACAAGACCATGATGTTGTCCAAAAATCTCAACTACTTTTCTTTTTGTAGATTCTGTCATGATATTTTTAGCAATTGTTTTGGCAAAAGCAGTCAAGAAAATGCAGACAAGAATACACACAGGGCTCTCTTTAAAAAGAACTTGTAATAAGTGGTACCTAGTTATTGTTACTGGAAAGAGCCTATTGTACGGGCTGAAAAGCCTCTCCTACATGAATAAACACTTGGCACTGGTGGAGAGCCAGAGCTGCAAGTCATTTACACAGTCATTTGCTCATTTACACAGTGGGAGCGTGTGTACAGAATTGTTGAGATTATATCTCTGCTATAGGGGAGGAGCATTAAAAAAAGCTGACAATAGCATTCATCACTTGTGGCCCATTGTTCAACATTTCATTCATGAATACCATGACTTTCTTTTATGCAAAGCTGCCCAAACCTCCCCACCATCAGCCCACCAAGAATTTTCAGTTGAGAACATCTTATCTGGTCTTATTTGTAACAAGTGCAAGAAATTTGCATGGTAGTTAAAATTGAGACCATATTTATCCATTTTTAAAATCATGCTGCATTATATGGCATTTTATGATACACAGTAGGTGATCTTGCTTCAGACATAGTAGGTGTTCACCGAGGAATGCTGCTGGATAAATTTGGGCTACAAAGTAGATCCCACTATATCTGCATTGAAATCTTGATAAATATATGCCACTTAGTACTAATATTTAGAGACCTATAAGTCTCAGAAGATCAGAACCCATAGCATGAAAGTTAGATAGGAAATTTAAAAATTTGGGGGCATGATTAAGTTGGCCAAGTTTTTGATTGTTTGCCCCAAGGGTTTCCTTTAAAAATAGCAGTATTCCCATAGATCCTTGGATGATGTGTTCCCAGTGGTCAGAGGAGAGTTCCAGGGCTCGTTAATCAAACCACCCTTGATTTCTGTTTAAGCCATTTCAACAAAGTTTTTTATATTTAGAACACATTGAAAAGCATTAAAATGAAAACAGTAAAATGGAATATTGAAGAACTTGTTTGGGGATCTACAGAAAAAATGAATTTTCTATCTTGTGATGTAATTTAAAGTGAAGAACTTCTAAAAAATAATTATTGATATATAAAAGGCAAGAAAAATCCAAGGATTTTTAACCAATGATTTGGGAGATGGAAAGATTCTGTGTAATCTTGAAAAAAATACAGAGGTTAAAAACCAGCACGTATACTAAATATAGATAAACCAAGTAGTTGAATATTTACATATGTTATTAAGGAACAACTTGGATAATTCAGATATTGAGGTTTTGTCTTGCCATAAAAGGATGCATTCATATCTCTAACCATGTTAGATATAGTAGAATTTATGAGATTTCATATATCTTTTAACCTGACTGACACTATATTGAATTCAATACTTACTTTTTTTTTCTTTCTAACTCTAGAGATACGATAATACAGGCAGTAGAATTTATGAGATTTCATATATCTTTTAACCTGACTGACACTACATTGAATTCAATACTTACTTTTTTTTTCTTTCTAACTCTAGAGATACGATAATACAGGCAGTGGTGAAATTCTTATGTCTTTGAAACATTGTCACTTTAAAAATGGAAGGGATCTTGTAGTTTCTTTCATTGACTGGGTATAAGTTCTTATATTTCAAATGAAAATAGTAAACTCTATGTATGTATCTGTTATATAACCAAATTGACAAACCTTGGTGATCATGCTATATTCAAAAGATAATCACTTTCAGCACACAAGTCTAAGTTTTAAAATATTTTCTCTCAATATACTGGAAATATTCTACTG